TAAAGAAGTCATGTTCTAAAGGGTAAAAACCAAGCGCAGGAGGGTGGTACGGGATTTAGAAGGTCATCTTCCCGGCTGGGAAATGATCTGCAGTTTCCCTTTCTGGCTCTTTTCCCACACCTACAGTGCTCTCCATTCATCTCTGCCACACCTAAAACACACACCCAGATACTCATCAGAATTGCAAAATTCAGCAACAACATGCTACACGCAGGAACAGGCTAGCCAAGCTCACCTAAGAATCATCTCAGAAAGCAAAATGCTCCAACACTGACACCGACCTGTGGTTTCAAACCCAGCCTGTCTGCAGGAGTTTTAAACCCTGAAACCTCTCTGCAGAAATAAGATAAAGCAATCTTTTACCCTGTTCAGTGGCTTCACAAATAATGGTTGCAGGAAGTGTGAGGAAAAGAAAAGGGAGTTTAAAAGAGGTAAACCAGGGGCTGGGGATTTGGCTCAGCGGCGTAAGTGCAAGCAGGCAGTCGTGAGTTCAATCCCCGGTACCAATAAAAACGAAAAAGACAAAAAAAAAAAAAAAAAAAAAAAAAAAAAAAGAGGTAAACCAGAAGTGAGTCTCTTTGTCGGACTTCTCCGTGCTCAACGCCTGCTGAAGGATGGGCAGGTTCCCAAGACAGGGGCTACTGTGTGTTTATATGAAATGCCCTTCAGTCAACTGAAATTACTTTGAATTACTCTGGGGTGAGGATGTTAAAATTGATTCCTGCTAGTATTGTTTCTTAAACTGGGAAAACCTTGAATTTCTCTTTTCAGAATAGAAAATGAAGAGCTAGAGGACTTTTTTTTTTTTTTTTTAACTCTTTTTGAGACAGTTTCACTATGCAATTCAGGCTGGCCTTGAACTCATTCTGTAGCACAGGCTGGCCTCAAACTCACAGCAATTCTCCTGCCTCAGCCTGCTGAGTGCTGGGATTACAGGTGTGAGCCACCACTCCTGGCTGAGGACTATGAATATTTGCTTATATATTTCCGCTAAATCAAAATTGAGGCATGAGGGGCTGAATTTGGCCAACTGCTCCTAAGGAGACAATACTTTACCACAGGTGCAACAAACTTTATGCACACTGGCTTTATTTTATTTGAAGAGTTTTGTATGGGATGAGGATCAAGCAATGAATTTATGACTGAGTACACACATAAAAACAAAATGGCTATCTTTAAGACTAAATATTTGCTTAAAATTTTAAGATAAATGTTACGCATTTACTTCCTTCTGCTTAGATTGAGACTCAGTCATATATGAGAGCAAAAGGAGTCCATCTTCCATGTGTTTCTACTCTGGATCAGGACTCTTCTAGAACAAATCAAAATCAAAATCAAAGGACTGGCTGTGACATGTTATATCTGTGTGTTCTGTTTATCTACGTGTCTTCAGTCTTTTTCCTACAACTAAAATTTCAAGATATTCTATAAATAATAATTAAGACTCACACCAGTGAATGATTCTAACATCTAGAACTGAATTGTACTTCTTCTGGACCAGATAACATGTAATATCTAAAACAGGCATTTCATAAAGACTAAAAACAAATGCCTCGAAAGCTGTTGTGAGATTTTATTTTAGAAACCCTCTACATCAGTTGTGCAAATCAAGACTGGACTCTGATTCCAACCACAGCCCTGTGATGGGTGGGAAATGGTGAGAGGGGTCCACAGAAGCGCCCCCGAAGTAGGCAGTCTAATAATGCAGACTCATTCTTAAACAGCAAGAACCGGGATTCTCAACCACAGTGGGATGAGTAGGTTGTGGAGCTTTCAAATCTCCATGTTTTGTTTTGTTTTTTCACATTCATTGCCTTCCTTGGCCGCTGGGGGAATCGCTTTCACTCAGGCCTGGTCCTTTACACTTTGGGCGCTTCGCCTTCTCCATACCTCTTCCCTAGACTATGCCCCAAACACAGGGGAAAGGTGGGCTCATCCTTGGAATCTGAAGAAGAAGGAGACCTTGAGGGAGCTACAAGGAGAGGAGAGGCGGCCCGGGAACACTCCTGAGGGCCTCGCCCACTGCGCCCAGCACCGCCCCAACACTGATCCCTAGTGCTGTCATCAGCATTCGCAGGCTGTCTGCTTTGGGAAAGTTAGTCCCTGTTCCTGCTTCCGTCCCTTCCTGAAGAAAGAAGAATGACTGAATCCGTAGGAGAGGACTAAGGCCAGGGTCAGTACGTGGGAGGCCTGAAAAACAACACTGGGTGGTCATCACTTCTTGGACTGGGTGGGAGTCAGGCGCTGACTGTCGTGGGCCTTGAGGAGCAGATCTGAGTGCCGCCCTCCTCTCCCTGTTCCACAGAGCTTGGCACCTGTCTGCCACTCACGGAAGCACAGCTGACCCCTCCCAGAGAACTGTTTGTTCAGGGTGGTCACTCATTCTCACCTTCCAGGAACAGACAGAATAGTCGGTTCTTGTTTACTATTCTAGCTTTTCTCCTATACTGGTTAAAAAACAGGTATTTAAAGGGGTCCGGCTCACTATCTTGAATCAGGAGCACTCTGAAACATAAACAGCTTTTATTGTTTCCCCTTATCTTTAGAGTTATTTATGGTCTTAAAAGAATTTGCAATCAGTTATTAAATGGTTCTTCCACTTTCAGGAATATTCTTTGATTTTTATTAAAGATAAAATTCCAACACAAGTGTGTACTTGATAAGTGTGAGGTCCTGAGTTTGATCCCTGGCACATACACAAAAAAACTCCATCACAACATTAAGATAATCTTAATTGCTGTCTCCAGTTACGGAAGGGGATTTTTAAAAAAATCTTCAAGTTACCCATTTTCCCTTTCCCAACAGTATTTTTGTAAATTAACAAAGAAGTAGCTACACTCCAAACAGAGAATTCTGAAGGAAAAGGGATTGCTTGTGGTCATTTTACAGGTGAGGATGCTGAGCCCATAGGAAATGACCTGTCCAGCACAGAAGAGCTAGAGAGCGCCACAGCTAGGAGGGACTCATATCCACCATTTAGGGTGAGCCTGGAAGACAGGTCATTTTGCTTGCAGGTTTATGCCGGTGAACATGTCACAGGGAGTCTGCAGTCAAAGCAGCCTAATTCACACTGAATGGCTGTATTGTCCTGTTGCTTTCATTTCCTTCAAAAAGACAAGCCTATCAAACGTTACGGCCAGATCTGCAGGATAAGTTTTTGTTGGTTTGTTTTGTTTTGCTTATAGTATTTGAATTACATTTACCCTCACAAGTCAAAGGAGGAAAGATTTATTTGGCTTACGGTTTGTAGAGGTTCCTGTCCACAACTGACTGCCTCCAAGATGAGATAGATTGGCAGAGGGGCATCAGAGAACCAGTTCATGCAAGCAGAAGACAGCAAAAGCAAGCAAGGAAGGGAGAAGACAAATCTCTATCAAACCTTTGTATCCCATCCAGGTTACTTAGGGCTGGTAGCACTCACACCCTTAATCCTAGTGCACTTGAGCCTAGCACTGCACCATGAATCAATCCCAGCCATCTCTGAAAAAGCCCTACCTATGACTGCATGAGGCTTTGGGGGGACATCTTGACACAAGTCGTTGCACTCTGGTGACTGAACCTAGGGCATTTGTATTGTGACATCTACAACCCATTTTTATTTTTTGAGATTGTGCTAAATCTGCTAAATTGCCCAGACAGCTTGAAGTTGTGATCCTCTTGCCTCAGCTTCTTGTAGTGCTGGGATTACAGGTGCAACACCACACCCAGCTCAGAACACTGGTTCAAAGCAAAAAGTAAGTATACTCCACAATATATTCCTGTGTGACAGCCAGAAGACCTTGACTTATTGCTTCTTTGTTACATTCAACAGTAAGTGGCTGTTAGCACATCTGACTACCAATCGTGTGAGCCTGAGGTAATCGTGTGGGAACCGAGAACTGCTTATTTGAAGGGTGGGACTCAATGTAATTAGAGGACCAAAACCACCCCAGCTGTACCATGGGAGAGCTCCTAAAGGCACTGCTAATCTTTAGGTGGTTTCACTGTTGAATTCTTCATGACTTTCCAGAACTTTCTGTGTATGTCAAAAAGTACCTGTCTTGGTGACTCTAAACCACTAACGAATGAAGGGCTGAATGTTCTGAAAGAAACTAAACACTGAGCAAAACAGTGACACAGTGTGTCTTTGTCACAAATAGTTCACGTCCCTGGTCCCAGGAACTTGTGTTTTGCCCGAGTGTACACCATTCAGATATGGTACATTATTGACAGAAGAAAGTTACAAGGGTAAAACAGAAGTGTATGCTTTAGAGACCTCACAATCAGGTCATTTTGGGGGATAACAGAAGACTGAGTTTCTTAATCTCTAGAAATCCATTATCTTCTTGAAGGAGCTATTCTGATTCTGACTGGTGGAGGTTTTTGACATTGTTACCTATCACCTCAAGTCCTCTACTCAAAAAAGTGTTTTTTTAACTTTGGCATAACCACTCAGACCCATTTCTTTAAATTTATGATGAGAAGCACTTATTTCATATTTTGAAAGACCTAAGAAACACGCGCTGCTGAAGATCAACTGGCCAAAAGAAGCACGAGAGGGACCCTGCTGTGGGCCCGGCACCGGGAGCCAGTCCTTCTTCACAGCTGCGAAGGCTGCAGGAGCCACTCGTGGCCGGCAGTGAGAAACAACTGAATGGGAAGATGGGTGAGGAAAGAAGCACAGAGAATGTGACTTTGTTCCCTAACGGAAGATGACCCCATCAGTAAAATCGGGGAAGGGTGGAACTTCAGCCAGACCACACACAAGTGCTCTGGGGCTGGACCTTCCAGAAATTTCTTAGACCCCTTCCTCTGGCTGGCAGCCCTACGTAGACATTGTTCGACATTTATGCACGGGTATTGTTCACTGAGGAAAAAGAATATACTGCTAGAACTTACCCATATTCATCCAAAAATCGTTATTGACAACTTTCCTCTTGATTTGTGTTCTTACTCAAAGAAATGTTTAAAAATTCCCATTCCCAGAACACAACAACAACAACAAAACTCACAAACTAGACTCAAGATTTTAACACCTGGTTTATTGAGAAAAAAAAAACAGCAAATTTTTAATTGCTTGTGGTACAACTTATAAAATACTAATTTGATATATAAAAAGAGCTTGTTTTCATTAGGTCAGTATAAATGGGTTAAAAAAATAACAATTCATCCAATATATGTTCAGAGAAGTTCATATCCCTGAATTTTCCTGCTGAATGTTTTACATCAGACATTTTACCAAGGAAGACCAGGTTTTTAACTATGTGGCTTCTGTGACAGTTAAAATCTAGCACAGCTGTGTCTATATGGTCAGAGCCCAGCTAAACCAGAGATGGAAGAAGGAAGCCTTTCCTTCCCCTGTCCTGTTTTAATGGCATTTGGGGGCAGCAGTAGCTGTCCTAAACCCTTACTAGGTGGCTTCACCATTCCCAGCTGGCCACCTTTCAGCCCAGCCTACACAGGTTCTGATCATTTGGACACAGCAGCACAGACTTATTAATGCAGCATCTCCCCACACCCTAACCCTGTAAGCTACTTTTATTAAAAGAGCAAATTTCGTCTCAGCCTTTCTCTATCACATAGGCCTCCCTACTGCAGTCTAGGGCTACAGAGAACCCTTCCTCCATGTAACACCAGCTCAGCGTGCAGTTTACCACAACAGCAATTATTAGAATATTAATTATAAACTCTCAAACTTGATATGCAGTTAGGAAATTATTTTGCTTCTTTAAATAGCTAAAACCTTGAAAATTGAGCTTTTGTTTTACATTACTTTTAGAACGTTTAGTTACCAACAATTTTTACCAATATTTCCCTCTTCTCCGTAGCCCTTAATAGAAACAATCCATTCTATCTGGGGGGGAAGAGGACCCCCAAACTTGATGGGCTGACTACATCCGGGAAACCTTCACATTTCCCCCTTTCATTTTCTTTTATAAATGCAGTAGGCTATAGATAGGCAGGGAATATTGGCATATTGTAAGTAACTAGCAAAAAGAAACACCTTTTTGTAAATTCTACAAAACATAGAAGAATATGAAACTAGAACACAATTTAAGAAATATTTTCTTCCCAGTTATATTAGCATTTCCGACCAGTTTAAGCCTATGAACGCTTCCAAAAGAGGTTCCAAGTGGGCTGGAGCTGCTGAACGCTGCCGAATCGGATGCCAGTGGCCTGCGAAGTTCGCCTCCTCCGGGTCCCCTCGGCTCGCGGGTCGCGCCTCCTCCCTCTCCTCCCTCTCAGGCAGAGGTGTAGAAGTACCTGGGCTTGGCATTGCCCAGCAGGTCGTCTTCGTAGTTGGGCAGGCAGCAGAAGAAGAAGGCACAGCCAATCAGGATAATTGTGGCCGCCCAGCCGAAACCATAGGCCCAGTTATAGATGTAAAGGACCGCACCGTTGGCGTGAAGGTTGAAGGTCTGGGTGTATTTCACAGGGTAGATGACCAGGGAGATGATCTGGAACACAGCTACAGCGAAGAGAAAACACCGAGAGTCAAAAAGCCTGAATGAGGCACCCTGACATAAAGCAACTCCTCTTCCTCCCAACAGGAGGCTCATGTGAATTTGAGGCCAGCTGGGCTACATAGTGAGCTAATGCCCAGCCAGAAATCTCATACGCACACTGCCATTTTGTCACCACTATTCTGGTTTTGTTTAAGACAGGGTCTCACTGCAGTTCAGGCTGACCCTAAACTCGCTATGTAGCCCAGACTGGTCTAAACTTGCGCTGATCCTCCTGTCTCTGCCTCCTGAGTGCTGGGATTACAGGAGTGTGCCATGCAGCCACCACCTTTTCTATCATCTTGGGGTTTTTTTTTCCAGTAGATCCACAGATTTTCCCAGAAGTGGGTTTTCCTTTCCCTTCTTTTCAATGGCTCCACAGGCAAGCGTGTTGTTCAGCTGTTTCTGTTTCTCAGCTCAACTGAAATGTTCCTCATCTGTGGCAATCATGGAACGCAATCATGATGAAGGTTTTAAAACATTTCTCAACTTAATGCTTATTTTAAATAGCAAATTTACTAGTTCAGTTTGCTCTTTTTTGCAAAATATTGTGCAAGACACAAAAGTAATCCTTCTTTGCATTCATTTCTAATTTTCCTAGCAATAAATGTGAAATGTTGTTCATTCGCTTTGGTTTACCGTACATGAAATTTTCATAATGATTTGGATGAATTTCTGCAAAATTGAAATTGTATCGGTGTTGACTTTTTCTGATTTCAACCCAATCTTTATAATAAATACTGCTGTAAAACATATCTAAAACCAAGGAGGCTTTTTTCAACATTATCACCACCAAAAATGTGTTGAGATTTCTACAAATTTTGTTCTTCATTCACTTCTTAGTCTACTTGTCAAACTTTAAAAGAGAGAGAACGAATATTAAATTACAAAACAGGAACACAAGATTAAGTGATTTTTCAGCTGTTAAATCTGTGGAGGACATTAGAACTGGTTTTCTATACAATCACCAGCCCTATCAACTGGGACAGTGATTACTAGATTTAACCGTCTTAATGCTAAAAAGGAATAATGGGTAAAATATATATATATACCCACAAAGTTTATTCCTGTTGTAGTAAAATATATCCAGCATGGTATTTAGCATTTTACCGACCCTGAACTCGACATGTGCCTGCCTGGGGACCTGTGTTTATCTCTGGGAATTTGCCGTTTCTAGGTACCTCCTATAAACGGAATCACATAACATTTGTCTTTCTGTGTCTGGCTTACTTCAGCAAACACTGACCCTGCCCTTCTCTTCATGGCTGTGTAATATCCAGCTGTGCACATATCGCGCACTACGTGTGCTCCTTCATTTTCTGGCAGATCCTTCGGCTGCTTCTACTTTTTGGTTACTGTTAATAAAACTGCTGTGCACGTGGGTTACAAACCTGTGTGCAAGTTCCTGCTGCTGATGCTTGTGGATACAATGCCTAGCAGTGGACCTGCCCAGCCACTCAGGACTCACTAGAACTCTTCTACTAAGGTCAAGGCGCGAGCGTGTTATCTTTGCATGCAGTTTAAGCAGGCACACTCCTCTCCTTCCAAGACCGAGAAAGGGAGACTGCACCGCATGTGTCTCTGTGACAGTCTCTTATGTGTGGATAGGAAAAGCCAACCAAATGGAGGTGGGATTCAACGCGTGGGATTCCACGCCCTTTCTGAAAGTGAACTTTGTTTGGAATTAAGAGCAATGTTCAGGGGCTGGGGATTTAGCTCAGCGGCATAAGCACCTGCCTTGCAGGGCGGTCGTGAGTTCGATCCCCGGTACTGATAAAAAAGATTAAAAAAAAAAATTCAAAGAGCAATGTTCAGATGTGCAGCACAAAGGGCAGGTCATGCCTGCCTGGCCAGGTCTCCAAGGGTCCTCCTCCCTCCAAGCTACGGCTCCTGGCTCTGTTAATGAGCACCGGAACCCGTGGACGTGGCCTCCTTTGGGCTCACTGTGGCTCTAACAGTCCCCCTGCAGTCACAAGCCTCCAACCTGCTTTCAACACGTCCGCTCACTTCCCTTCCCCACACCTCTAGTGGTTTCAGTTTTGCTCCAGGCACTGTGTCTGGTGCCTTGAGAAACTAGCGGTGGCCAGACTCTGCCCTGACCTGTACTGTCGCCTCTTTTTCCCTCCTCAGAAAATCTGGTTTACATCGGAATCCAGTTCTAGAGCTGAGATTTGTCCCTTTCACAGGAGCTGCCTACAATTTTAAATTGTTCCTCTCCCTAAATTCTTAGGTCTCATTTTGCACTGGTAAAGGTTCAGCCTGCATCTCTCCCACCTGCACAACCAGATTTCTTCCCATCACCTACGTCTGAGTCTCTGTCACCGGTCTGGCATGAGCTCTGTACTGTGAAAACCCTTTCCCGACCCCACATGTCAGCATCACAAAACTCCTTCAGCATGCCAAATGGGACTGCGCCATTCGGGTCCCCTTGACACTGGGTCCAGGGAGCCAGGGGTGGGGACCATGCCCAAGAGGCTGCACTGCTAAGGACACATGCAGCCCTGGTCCCTCGGTTAGGGGTCAGCCAGGGGACCACAGAGCTATGGGGAGGGCAGCCCCTATCACTTGAGCGGGGAGCACAGAACAGGGCACAGGACAGGAATGCAGTTCCTAAAGCACATTTCTGCTGTTACTCTACCCGGTGACCTGTCTGTGTCATCGGTCTTCCTGTGAGACAGAACATGATGCTCCCATGCCTGCAAAAGGTACCCAGAAGGGACTGTGGCCTCCGGGCCTTACCAGCCAACGCGAGGAGGCCTCCGATCACTCTCAGGAAGACGAGCATCTGGGGTCCACAGAGGGCGAAGAAGGAGAGGATGAAGCAGATGATGAGGATGATGAAGCCGCAGAAGAGCATGGCCACAGCTGCTCTCCCCCACGCTGCAGAAAAGCAGGATGGAGAAATTAGCAAACCCCAACTTACAACTGCCCGGCAGACACCAGCAGATTCAGGCTGTTTGTTCTCATAGTACTAGAGATCAAACCCAGGGTCTTCACACTGACCCCTAGCATGAGCACACACACACACACACACACACACACACACACGCACACGCACACACACATCCATTTAAAACGTTTTGAGACAAGGTCTTGCTAAGTCTTTACGTTGCCCTGGCCGGGCTCCAACTTGCAATCCTCCTGCCTCAGCTTCCCGGAGTTTGTCTTCCCAGTAGTTGCTGCAGGGGAGCAACACTTTTTCTTCCAACAGTGCTGAGGGATCTCGACATTTCAAGGCAAACCAGGCAGCGCATGTGTCGGTAATAACACACTGAGACTCAGTAATAACTTTCTCCCTTTGGTTTTTGAGAAAATGTTTACATCTCTGAAATCAAAGTCAAGCTTCATTAAACTGCTTCTCGGGCAGTAAACTTGCCATGTAAGTAGGTTTATTTATGTAAAAAATTCATGCAGTTTCTAACACAACACAACTCTAATATAGACTCTTAGTGGTGAGCAATCCAAACTGCAAACTCTTTAGGAAATGTTTTGAATACCTTCAGGGATCTTTGTTTTGTATTGAGGTTTGATTTTGTGCACAGATAACCATTAAAAGCAACTATTTATGACTTGATGGAGACGTGAAATAACTGATTCTGTGTGTTTGCAGAAAAAGCTTTTGGAAATTTCTGCCTACATTTTAATTTCTGAAGTATTCAGAATTTATCACATGAGAGTGCGATTGTTGACGTTGGCTCCACAGAAAATCAGGGTGAGGCAGACACTGAGCCAACGCTGGAGGACCCGCCCAGTCGCGGAGGGCTTCGGTCCATCTCCAGAACTTGTACCTTCTCCCTGCTGGCACTGGGCTCATTTCTAATTCGGAAATGAGGGTACACATACAGGTGGGGAGTAAACGTTCACAGTTTGACTTCTAGCCTATCCAAATCCAAACATGACTGTTCTTTTCCAGTATGATTTATACACCATGAGTGCACCCTTTAAAGTGCTCAGTTCAGTGAGTTTCAGCATGCAGCCATCACCACCCACAATTCCACTTCCATCATCTCCACCCTCAAAGAGACATAAATAAATAAAATAAGAACCCCTGCACAGTGAGGGGGCGCCCAGCCCTGTCCCCGCTGTCTCCTCATTTGCCTATTTTGGACGTTTCACAGAAACAGACTTGCATGCCATATGGCCTCTGGTAACCAACTCTTCACCGAGCGTAGTAGTTTTTAAGGATGGTCCACTTTATTGCACAAGTCAGCATTTCATTCTTTTTCATGACTCAGTAATATTCCACAGTATATACGGTCCCCATTTCGTTTCTCCTTTCATTTGTTCTTGGAAGAACCTGCACTCTTAGCCTCTCCACTCTTTGCTGCATTTGGAAAGGACCCACGTGTGCCCCTGCAACCTGCTTTTAGTTCTGCTCTAACACAGCACAGCCAGAAAGGTCCTCACTACCTCTCAGTCATTCGGGTGATCTGAGTAGAACCAAGACAGGCCCACAGGAAGAGCCACGGCTCGGGGCCAGCTGCACCTGTGTCACCTGCTGGCCCTGCCGCCTACCAGCCACACACCAACTGACTTCATCTAGAAATGACTTCTGTCAAGGTTACTGTGAAGATGATGAGCCTGAAAATCATCACTTGTTAGTTTCCAAGCCCTCCTCTAAGGCGGCGTGGTGGTGCGCAGCTGTAATCCCAGCAGTCTGGGAGGCTGAGGCAGGAGGATTGCAAGTTCTAGCTCTCCCTGTGCAATTTAGCCAGACACTGTCTCAAAATAAAAAATGAAAAGGGTTTGGAATGCAGCTCAGTGCCAAAGGCCAGGTTTGGAAAAATTAAAGTTTCTCCTCCATCCCCCAGTACCATAGTTACCCTATATTCTAATCCCCAAGGTTCTGCATTGCCATTTTAAAACTGTTCCTAGGTCACAGGGCAATCATTCCTCCTTTCACTGATGTCAACAAACCCAGGCTGGGTTTCCTGCAGCACCACATGCTCTGCCGGGTGCCCTCTAGCGCCTCAATGCTGCCGAACACAGGACTCAGGAGCAGGCACGTTTTCCTGTCTCAGAAACACCGTTTTCCCAAATCTTGGGAGCTAACCCATCAGCGAGAGGTTTCAGCGTAAGATTAACCTGGGAATGCTCGATTTTAAAATAGAAGCGAATGAATGCCCAGGTGTGCACCTTTAACAAGTCTCTTTTTCTTACTTTTGCCTTGTCCTTCAAGTCAGGGAACTTTTAGTAAAGACTCAGGATCCAGATCAAGCAGCGGTGCTTATTAAGAATACAGATTCCCGGGCCTCCCTCCTGAGCCACAGTGAGAGCTGCCGCCCAGGAATCTGCATGTCAGTAGTACCGTGCTTCTTTCTTTCACACCGAAGTCTGAGAACGATAAAATTAAGGATGAAGCTCTTTCTATAAACAGACCGAGCGTTACCAAAAAGGAGCATACGTCTACCGTCAGTTGCTGTCTACTTGTCTTGTGTGTGTGGTCACTGTCGTCACTAAATCCAAAGGAGCAAAAACTTGGCTTTCCTTTTATGAATTCACAAGTTTGAAACCGTGTGATAGAAAGTCACACAGCGACGTGAACACGAAGAACGCAAACATGGAAATGTATTGCACAAGAGAACCAGACTTTTCAGTAAAAACGTCCTAGCCAGAAACGTGTCTCGGTGACCAAACTTTCACAATCACATTAATGTTTTAGAGGTCTAACTACATAGGTTATATTAACATTCCTATAAAGAATACTTTTAATGATTTTACCTGTTTATTTGAGGAAAATTAACACAGATTATCACCACTCCTCTAACATCTTAGCTGAAATGTAACTTATGGTTAGTCTCGGGCACTTGGAGGGAATTAAATAAACACTAATTCACTTAACCTTATGTTAACAAGTGAACACACACATACAGGTAATAGACCACTTTACAAACTTTTCCTATTAAGTCAATCCAGTTAATGTCGCACTTATTTAAAGTGCTGAGTCTTAAAGAAATCAAAATGGAAAATTAGGAAACGTTTTGTCCCAAGAAAAGCTGCCTTTGTTGTGGAACGTGTAAAACCTGCTCCTCGCAGCAGGGAAACACCCAGGTTGACTCATGTAAGTATCATTTAGACTGAAATCTTGGCACGGTTCTAATGATCATAACTGATGGAGGGCGGGCCCAGCTGAGCCAGGCGGTCTCGTCAACAGCCACCTTGCTTGAAAACGAGACGCGGTCGGGTGGCACCAGAGCTGAGCAGGGGACGTCAGCCACACGCCTCGGACACCGCAGGTCTCAGGACACACATGGCATGGTTAGGATAGCTCTACCCTGAGTGCGTTTCCTAGGACCTCAGTCTCAGTTTCCCAGAATGAACCTAACATCTGTAGATCTGCCCTCTAAGAACTATTTATATATTATACCATGCATGATCCAAACTATACCACGTTTCCAATGGAAAACTTCCATTTTATAAACTGGTCCTAAAGGTACTTCTTCCATGATTTAACCCACAACTCTTCAAAGGTAGCTGTGTCTATTCTGAACAAAGGTCTGTCCTTCATTACTATTCTATACATCAAATCTGACTGTGGCTAATTGTGTGAGTGTGAGTGTGAGTGTGAGTGTGAGTGTGTGAGAGAGGTGAGGCTCCTCACCATCAATTATTATTCTCTGAATTTAGACCCCAAAGCACACAGAGGCCCAGGCAAACAGATATGTTTCTGTGCAAGAATTTTTGGTTTTTTCCATAAGGAAGATCAGTTTGGCATTTTACGTATGTCCCAAGTTCACCTAAGAACTATTAGAAGAGGTTTGTATTAGCGAAGAAACCAGCAGCATTACAGATACACTTTTCAAGAAGATTCATCAAAGCTCCATTAGAGGAAAGACAGCTTATCCCCAAACTAATTAGCAGGACTAATTAGAAGAAAATACACATAAATACCTTGAAGGTCAAGCCAGAAATGATAAACTAAAGCTTGTAAAAATAATCTTGTAAATAAGTAAATAACCCTGACAAGGAAATCCTTGCTTCTATTCATAATTCGCTGGTGACCCCGTGGGGACCATCCTGATCTCCCCCTCAAGTGTTCCTTAGTGTCAGGGATCTGCTGGCTTCATGAGTTTCACACCCAGGCACCAAGCAAACTGCAACAGCAGTGGCCTCTCCCCACCAGGGTCACCCAGAGAGGGCGGGGTCCCCCTGCAGAACAAGGGACTCATCTGTTAGCAACACCAAAGGCTCACCTGGGACCTGGATTTTTGTCAGTTTCTTTCCTGTTGCTTCTATAAGGTTCTTTCGACTCCACATAGGCAGAATTTAAATCTGAGAAAACATAGGCTAAGAAGTATAAGACTCCTACCTACAAATAAATACAGCCCTGGTGGGTCTCTACCAGAAACCACTGTTCTGCATATGTAGTGAGGAGCTAATGGGTGGTGGCTGCCTGCAAATCACCTGGGGACCCCACCAAAATGCAATCCTGGTTCAGCAGGGGAGGCTTGAGACAATGAGGGTCCAGTGGCCTCCCAGACCCCACTGGTATTGTTGATCTTTGATGCATAGGGTAGCAAAAACCCAAAGCACAACTGAATGCACCTGCGAGAGACTACAGAGGAAGAAGGTGAAGTCCCAGCCTGGCGTGGCGGTGCACGCCTGCAATGCCAGCACTCTGCAGGCTGAGGCAGGTGGATTGCTGCAAACCTGAGATCAGCTCGGGGCACACAGTGAGTTTAAAGCCAGTGAGACTGTCACAAAATAAAACAAAAACAAAAAAAAGAACAAGCTGAGTTCCTGCAGAAGCCCAGGAAGGAAGCAAGGAAGGCTCCAAGGAGGGGTTGCAAGGTGAGATCTGAGGCTCACCCTTTCTCCTGCGCCCCAGCCAGTGCCAGCTCAGGACGCTCTTCTTACCCCTTATTAGCAAGTGGAGAAACGCTCTCACAGGAAGAGATGGAGATGGGACCCTGTCTGCAAGCAACAAGTTTGGGGTCCACCCTCAAACATGTGAAGCCTGTCAGAGGGAGGAGGATGAGGATGGACAGTAGGGATTCGGGGAGCGCTCCCCAGCTCAGCATGAGGGGCGCCGGTGATAACAGCAGGTCCCAAACAGTACTTGGCAGCCCTGAGCCAGCTATTTTAATTTGCCTTAATTCCGACACAATTCAACTTTACAGGGCCAACACAGCACCATGTGGGGAAAAGCTCTGTGTGGCTACTAAGTGTGGCGAATGTCACTGGCTACCAGACTTTTAGATTTCAGAAACCAAAATGTCCTGTAAGTTATTCCCTCCGCAGAGGGGCTCTCTTGCTAATTTGCAGTAGAAGGATGAGAACACGTGTTTGCAGACACACAGTCATCACCTAACACCCAATCTCATAAGCTCAATGCTTTGTCATCTTCCCTCAGGACACTCCACCAGCAAGCCGAGAACCACCTTCTCAGAACAAAGCCCGTGACGTGAGGCTGGCCTAGGATCAGTGCTGACTTCGCACGTATCTTTTATCTCCTGTACTTTTAAGAACCTTTGGATTTAATGACCTAAAAATATTTCTGTACTACTCTGATTCTTTTAACTTATCCAGGAGAGATTTCATGTAAAAAAAAAAAAAAATACTGGATATATTCAAAGGGTATCTTGGGTTAAAAAGAAAAAAATCAGCTCTGAATTTCTGTGTTCAGATTCAAGGCCTGAGTTTCCACCCTCCCTCCAGTTCTGGCTCATGAGCTGGTTCATTGTGCCTCACCCTTAACAAGCTGAAGCTTGCCTTTGAAATCCACACAGGTGATATTTAAAGTACCTTCCTGACCAATCCTTTCTTAAAACTGGAAAAGAAGGTGTTGGCCTAGGGTGGCTCCGCGAGCGCATATTCAAGTTTAATCTCGCATTTATCTACAGGCGACTCTTGGATAAGCATTTCACTCTTAAGTCTGGATTTTTATTTCCTTCTAGGTGAATATAAATTAAAAAAGAACAGGTACCTGTGAAGCCAGGTGCTAATTTAGCTGCTACCATCATGTGAAAGAAAATATTCAGGTATCATTTGGGTCCTTTACAAGCAACAGTGAGGTGACGCCATCTGAAGGTCTTGAACAACAGTGAGAGTAAAAACCTGATGTAACCATCTACTTGTTACACATGTGGTGCTAAGGAAGTACGTGCCTTCATAAACATCCACATTCTTTACTATGACTGTTGGTACTTGCCCTGTCTTTACTACTGAGATAAACATATTCATGTTATAAATATCCCCAGGAGAAGGAACGGCTGCTTTGCAACTGAAGGTCTACTTTCTTACTAGTTACAACAGTAAACCAAAATATTTACCAGTAAATATCAAGAGGTTTCTTCCTTTTAAATGGTGCCCAAACCGGGCTTTCCACACTGAGGTATCACTGTAATCACACCTACCCACCTTGCCCTTTGTTACAGAAGCCTGTGTGTGTACACAGGTGGGAGTGCTTACTGCATTGAGACACAGTGTCCCCACATAGACTGATTTCAGCAAAGCCTTGCTGAGACTATCTAAAAATCTATGGAATCCAAAGATAATCACCCTGTAATGTAGGAGTACATAATTCCCACTCTTGGGCAGCAAAACAGGGCGCCAGCCCAAGCAGGAGGCAGGAGATGGGTGGAAGACCAGGCAAGGGTCACTCGGTCTAGGGTGGCCAGAGGGGACCTCCCTAGGGTGGCTTGGGCTCTATTGTCTTCTCCCCACAGGCTTCTGAGATCTTCCCTAGAGGGATGATTTGCTTCTAGGTCCTAAGCATAATCTAGCACTGAAGTCACAAGTGCTTTGAGCCACAAAACTGGCTCCAGATGTTACAGCCCTACCTATGGCAGGCAAAGTCAGATGTTTTTCATAAAGGTAACAATTGCTCTGTTAAGATTCTGTTTGAGAACTGAGCTCCCCCAGAGGCCGATTTCTGAAGCAAATCAAAACAAACTATACACTGGACCCGTGTTTTTCTTACCAAAAAGGTTGTTTTAGACTTCTACTTAAAAACTAAAAATCAAACTAGAAAGCAGCCCTGCCTGTTCCTTTCCACACATGGAGTCCTCCAGCCTGAGGCTGGAATCGCCACACCCTAAAGGTGAGCTCACCCCACAAGGCTAGAAACATTCGCAAGGTGTTGTACGTGTTTCCCAAGAGGGCTTCCAGCCCAGCCCGCAGGCCGGATCGTGTCCCAGCAAGAGTGCTAAGCTCCGGCCGCCAGCCCACTTCACTGAGCGTGATCACCCATGTCTGCAGGCGTCTCCAGAGAGCGGATGAACCCATAGGCAGACCTGAAAGTCCACTACAAAAGACCAAGTTTGAGTGCATTTTAACTGCACGATGCAGTTAGATATTTCATAGTAATTAATACTGCAAGAATAAGAATGATAATTCCTAATTCCCTTTAAAAGCCTGAAAGACTTGGGATGATACAAACCCTGGAAGGCTTTGTGTTTGTGCGCGCATGTGTGTGTGTGCGTGTTTCCAGAGAACAGAAAACTCAAACTACGGTCTTCCCACCTCGTTACCGCCTAAGGAGGGCGCCGCCTCCTCGGGGAAGCGGGAACCACTGGGGCTCCAAGGCGGACGCACCCGGGACCGCAAATAAACGGGGTTCAGTGGGGTTCGGGCGCAAGGCCCGGGGTAGAGGGGGCAAAGATCGGCCGGCGGGGACTCGGAGCGCGAAGCGCAGGCAGCTTTCTCCAGGGCTGCTCGAGCGGCCACAGCGCCTCCCCGGTCCTCGGCACCCCGCAGTCCCCAGGGCCGGGCGGGCCCGGAGCCGCCTCGCCCCCCGCCCCCGTCAGTGCCCTCGCAATCGCGTCCAGATACAAGGCCCCCCACACGGCCACCGCCACCCCGAGCTGCTGCCGCGTTTGGTTCAAGTGGGACCCGAGAGCTCCAGCCCCCAGAGGCCCGTCCCGCCACCCCGAAAGTCCGCCGCGCCCGGGCGGCTGCGCGGCCCGAGGGCTTCCTGGAGGCGGCGGCCGGCTCACCGTACTCCATGAGGCTGTCGCAGCCCTCGGCGGCGGAGCCGGTGCCGCCGTCCTCGGTCGGGCATTTCCACCACAACGAGGACGTCTGCGAGCGGTCTTCCGACTGCAGCCAGCCGCGGCCGGTCAGCGCGATGATGTCGAAGACGATGGCGCTGAGCAGCAGGAGCGGCAGGATCCAGCGGCAGCGCTCGCAGGCCAGGCCGCAGCGCAGCATCTCGACGGCGGGGTGGAGTGGGGCGCCCGCGCGCGCCGCGACAAAAGGGGACCGGCGCGGGGAGGGGCTCCCGCCCCTCCCGCCCCACCTCGGGGCGCTGACTCAGGGCCGCCCCGACCTGCCCGGCCGGCTCCGGTTACACGCGGGGCGGGGCTGCTCCGGCCCGGGCCCGCCTCCTGGGCCCGCGTGGGCGCTGCAGGGACACCGCGGCCACACCCAGCCCGGCCGCAGGGACCCACCTCCTCCCTCTGCACCTTTGCACCTTTGCACCTTGGACCCGGTCCTCCCCCGGGTCGGAGCGCAGCCCTGGCGTCCAGCCCCGTCTAGGCCGGCACCGGGCTCAGGAACTTTAATAAATGAACCAACACATTCTTGTTTGCTCGTTTTTTGAGACAAGGGCTCGCTCTGTGGTTCAGGCTGGCCTCACACTCCCAGGGACTCTCCTGCCTCAGCCTTCGAAGGGCTGGATTTTGCAGGTGTGCGCCACCTTGCGGCCCTGAATTCGTTTAGCAAAACCTGGCAGTTCCTTCCTAGGAAGTGCTGGTGGCTGCCCCCAGGGAATGACCTCCTGTGGCCTCTGCGCCCTAGTGTCCCTGTTCCCACAAATCTTTAGCTAGGTGAACCCCACTTCACCGACTTGTAACTATTTTCACTTCTCCAAATAGAAACCTTAGGGCAGTGCGCGGCGGCATCCGAAAGCCGCCTCTCCGGGTCCAGGGCCGGCTGCGGCCAGCGGGACTCCGCGGGCTGGGGAGGAGCCAGCCCCTGGGTTCCCCTCCAAAGCACTGTAGAAGAAACTGGGCCTTGCCAGCCCGCGTGCTCAGGCCTCTGTCTTAGTTCTGATTCCGGGTGACCTGCAGGTCTCCACCGCCGAGGAGGCTGCAGTAAATGTGCTTAGGAAGTGTTGTCCTTCGCGACAGCCTTGCTTTGGGCAAACCGAGCTCCTATATTTTCATGAAAGGTAAATATTCTCTCGCGCAAAGGCCAGTCTCGGGGGGGATTCTGCCAAAAGCGAACTGTTGCATGTGTTGTAGACTGCATGAAGAGAGTTACCCGTGTGCTGAGTGCATTACGGTGTAGTGGCGGTTTAATTAGCCGTTGTCTAACCTGTAGTAAGCTATGAGAAGAAAATCAGATCCTTGCGAATCATGATGGAGCACTGATCATAAGCAAGGCAGTTTCAAACGGAATGCGTTTTACTGGTGCTAAATAATTTTAGAGTAGATATAACTGGGCGGGGTGGGAGGGTGTCCCTGCACTGGGGGTTGGACCAGGAACCCCCACATCCCCAGCCCTTCCCAAGATTCCCGGGCTAGCCCCCAACTCCAAGTCCTCCTACCTCAGCCTACCAAGTAAGTAGCTGAGATTATAGGTATGCATCACCATAACTTGGCTGAGTTAATGTTTGTGCCTCAGTTGTCACCTATGAAATGGGTTGTGTTTACCCCGCAGTGTCGTGGTGAGTATTAAAACAGCTAATGTGAGAAAATGCTCTGCGTAGGACCTGAACATCATAATAACTAGCGTTGGAGGGTGTTGATGATGAGGGTGATAATGACGATTTCTTTTTCCAAGTTAATATGATTGAAGAGGGGATTTCCAGGGTAATAAGAAGCAAATTATGCCAACACCAACCAAAAATGACTAAATTAGCATAAACAGCGAGGTCATGCATTCTAGCCCTAGTCCTAGAAAGACGCTCAGAGCGAATGGTAGACGGTTGGCTCGCGACCCCTGCTGCAAAGAAGAGGGATTGCAGAACACTTGGCAAAAAGAACTGATCCCGAGGCTTTCTTTAGAGATACATCGCTGTCACCTTGGGCCGGGCGGGGGGCTGTGGGTGTCCCCGAGCCAGCGGGTAGAGCCCTGTCCCCTGGAGACGGGAAGACCGCGTCTCTGAACTGTAGATGTCCCTAGAGTCCCCTCTGGTTGAACGCAGGGCGCTGCTTTTCCTATTTCATGGTAGTGACATAGCAACCGCTAAGGACGCGGGAGTCTGTAACACAGTGAGGCCTGGATTGGGAAGGGCTCGACTGCTGGAATAGGGCCAGCCAGCCTCCTTCCAGCTGCTTTGATCGAGCAGCCCCCAGATCTAAGATTTCAGCCAACTGTCACTTCCTTGGGGAGCCTTTCCTGACCCCCGGACAGTGAAGGGATCGCTGTCCTCGGGACCTCTTTCCTTCTAAGTCTCCTCCATGAAGGGTTAACTATGCCTTTTAAGGGTTCAAACAGGTATGCTTTATTTACAAAGAAAAGCAAACATTAAAATAGAATTTCCCTCCTTGTACTGTGAATTCCTGCATATTTTACACAATATTTTGCTCATATCCATTCCCATGTCCCGTCTCACTCTCCTGCTCTTCCTGGCCCTTGGTCCTCCCTCTTGTCTAATAAGAATCCCCCTTCTAAGACTTTCATGTCATCCTGTTGGAGACCACTATGCAGCGGCTCTGAGCAGGCTTTGAAGTTAACCAGTTGGCCTTCTGTGTTTATCCGTGAGTCTGTCCTAGGCCTAGGCCCCTTGCCTGGTGACTGGAGCTGATTCATAGGAAGTGAATCACTATGAATCGCTGGTCCTGGCTGAGGCCTGTAGTGGCCTGTGAGGCCAGAGAAACCTCAAAGGGCGAGATAAGCCTCAGCTGAGGACACCTGGCTCCAGCCCCAATTAAGAAGGTAGAGACTGCAGCTGCAGGCATCTGACTCCTGCCATAAATGTCATCATGGAGATAAGAGGCTTCTGTTAAACTGGCATAATTTACTGCTTGGAGAAGTGTTTGAAGTGACTCCCAAGGTCCTGCTCATTGCCTGTGCTTTCCTCAGTTTCCCCACTCTTTGTTTGGAGATGGAATAAATATGGGCAATCGAGAGAAGTTCTGTGTCTTAGGCCTCATCCTAGCTGCAGGGCCAAGAACTGCGCAGAGGGTTTGATCCTCCTGGAGCTCTACAATCATTCCACTGGCCTCGTTTGTTTAAGCCTTCACTGTATACTCCTGTGGGAGACTAGGGATCCTGGCAAACCCCGATATCATCTTTTTTTACATTCCACATTTTAGGGAGAAGATGCAGTATTTATCTCTCTGAGTCCTTTTGTTGTTTTTCTCATGCTTTATTACCTCCTAATTTCCAATATCTTAGTTATTCTTCCTTTTCTGCAAATGTGATTCTTTTAGGTATCTTCTGAAATGCTTGTTTATTTTTTCAAAGATAAGTTTAGTGGTCATGAATTTCTTCAGTTTATGCTCAGCTTGGAAGATATTTATGTCACCTTCAGTTCTGAAGGACAGCTTTGCTGGGAAGAGTAGTGTATGTGGGCAGTTATCTTCTTTCAGGGCTCAAAACATTGTCCCGAGCCCTGCTGGTTTTCAGTGTTTCCACAGAGAAGTCTGTGATTATTATAACAGGCTTACCTTTGCCTGTGGAAGTCAGTTTATGTTTCTCCTGTCAAGCTTTCCACATTCTCTCTGTGTTCTGTTCTCTGGCCATTTTAGCACTAAGGAGATGTGGGAAGGTTCTTCTTCAGTCAGGTCTCTTTGGGGTTCTAAATGCTTCCTGCACTGCATGTTTATATTTCCCAAAATTTGGGAAGTTTTCTGCTATTATCTCATAAATAGACTTTCTTTTTCCTTTTTTATAAATAGATTTTCTGTGCCGTGAGTCTGAACCATGAACATCTCCTCTACTGAACATTCATAAATTTGGCCTGTTAATCATGTCCTGGAGTTCTTGGATATTTTGTTCATAATTTATTTTTTTAAAAAATTAATGTTTTCATGTAATAATCGCTTAACTTTGTGTTCAAGCCTTAAAATTCTGTTTTCTCCTTAATCTTGCCTATTGGTGAGGCTTTACACAGTGTCTTACATGACTTATTGTGGTTTTCATTTTCAGAATTTCTGTTTTGTTCTTCTTCAGAATATTTATCTCTTTGTTTAATTGCTTCTTCATATCCTGCATTGTCTTCCTTAATTGTCTATTTATTTGTTTCTTCTTTGCAGTCATTATTCATGTTAAAAATCAGTCAGTTGGAGGGATTTGGGAAGATGGTGGACCAATAAGCAGCAAAATAAAGAGTTTCTCTTACAGAAACAGCTCAGATGCTGCAATAAAACGTCCTGGAGGAGACCAGATGGCAGGAGATAGATCCTCTCGACCCAGGAAGAACCTAAAGGGGGTGGGAGAAAATCATGGACAGAAGACTATAGCCAGACATGCTCTCACTGGAGCTGGTCCCATTGTGTACAAAATGCTGCTGGGATCCTAAGACATGAGGTCCTGGTGAAGTTGGGGGTTGACAAGCCTGAGGGCCTCGTGGGAGGATACCACGCAGAGGGGAATGGTGGAACAGAGAACAGCACTCAGCTCAGAGATCTGTACCAGCTCTAGGTGAGTGTGGGGAAATCAGTCCTCCACAGGAGTGGGCGGCTGGCCAGGGTGACATTTGGGAGTCAAGCAAGATAAGCCTGGAACCAGAACTGCATCAGCTTCAGTCAGCCACTCCTACTGCAGAGCAGATTGGTAAGAGTTGCTTGGACTGAGTCCCGCCCCTGCATGACCAATAGCCTAGGATGAGGTCTCTCTGACACTATACCTAACTGGCCCCATCCGCTCAGCACACACTAACTCCCAGTGAAGACTCCCAGTGGTTGACCAACTCAGAAGGGAGGGGCCAACCTGCCCACCCATTTGTATTTCAGTGGTCATCAACAGACTGGGGAGGGCAACAATCCCTAGCCAGCATGCTTTAGAGTAATGGTAGCCAGTACAGGAAGTGCCGGGGACTCCCATCGTCCACTCAGAAACATGACAAGAGGAAGAAACAAAGAAAGTCTCCAACCCACAACCCAAATAACACTGGCCCAGGAGAGGTAAACACAGAAGAGATCGGGGGTTGCACACCTGTGGTGTCTGAAAAGCAGCATCTGACATAAAGAAGTATCTTCGTGACATTATAAAAGAATTAAAAACAGAAATTCTAATACAAGTAAAGGAAGGAATCAGAAAAATGATAAAAGAAATGCTAAGTACCTCTCAAGAAGACACAGATGGGGGCTGGGGATTTAGCTCAGCGGCATAAGCGCCTG